TCTTTAAAAGTCAATAGGGTTTAGTTCAAAATATTTTTCATTTGAGGGATGTATTGCATATTTCACCTTTTTTTTTTTCTGAAAAAGTAAATACCAAAAAAATTGCATTTGCTATCGTGGGACTAGGGGTGGTAAAAGAGCCGAGCCGACTTGTGAGCTCGATGAGCGCTCGATAAAAGCTTAAACTTGGAATTGAGTATTTCGTGCTCGAGCTCGCAAGCTCGAGCTTTCTGACAAGTCGAGCTGGAGCCAATTTTTAGATGTTCATGAGAGCCGGCTCGCGTGCCTTATTTATTATTTATTATTTTTTTATTGTTTTTTATATATTATTTTTTATTAATAATGTATAATAATGTAAAATATTACAGAAATAAATAAAACTAAAAATTAATATTAAAAAAATATTTAATTACAATTTATTGTTTATTTTGGGGATAATTACACTTTTAGTCCCTATACTTTACCACTTATTCGTTTTTCGTCCCTAAACAAGTTGGAGTAACATTATCCATCCCTAAACATGCCATTTTTCTGCTATTTCCGTCCCTCCGTCAATTTGGCTGGTTAGTTTGGACGGAAAATAGCATGTGCTTCGCACATGATACGTAAGAGCCAACCCCTCTTCAATTTCAGATTGCATCTTCTTTCGAACATAATCCTTCTTTTCCAAATTGCTAATTTCTTTAATATCACACCCCTTTGGACTCATAAATAGCCTCGATACAAAAATCTGATGCAATGCAATTTTTTTCCATCATACAAAAATCTGATGCAATGCAATTTCTACTTTGAATTAATATATTTTGATTTGTTGAATGAAATTTATAATATGTTAAGCTACTCAAAAAGAATTCTTTGTTTTGTTACCTATTGAGGATTTGCACGATTTGCAATTCTATAAACTTTAATTTAGATTGTCTACCCTTATTAGTCATTATCTCCCCAACTGACTTTAACTACTCATTTAAACAAAAAAAAATGTCATGGCCGGTGTAGGGGATATTAAAAAAACTGATGTAGTTGCATGTCTTGTATATTCATTAATCCACGCGCACATATTGAAAAAGGTTATTTCACTGTATGTTTTGAGTTCAAATATGAAAATTTCATGCAAATTCGAAATAAATATTATTCAGCCGACAATTGTATCGTTTACAGTCTATTCTGGTCAGAATTTCCTCTTAATTAGGTATGGGTCTCTTGCATGGTGGTGGTTCGTTTCCAAAGTTGAAATGGGTATTTTGGGAATGTGCATGGTGGCTCGTTTTCTCTAGCAAAGTTTAGAGATGAGTTTTGCTGGGTGCCAATGCATGGGTAATTTGAGTTAATAATATGAGTTGGTTTCACTAAGCATATCAACAACAGCATACACGTGAGTGGCCACGTGGATTAATCGTCCATGTCAGCATATATTGAGATTTTCAGGTCCACGTCAGATTTCCATCCAAAGTAACAGCAAGAATTAACGGCAGGACGGAAACTGCTAAAAAATGGCATGTTTAGGGACGAATAATGTCACTCCAACTTGTAAAGGGACGAAAAACGAATAAGTGGTAAAATATAAGGACGAAAAATGTAATTATCCCTTTATTTTGCAATTCTTTTTTAAAATAATTTTGAATAATAATAAAATAATAATAAAAAATATTTGAAAAAAAAAAAAAGAAAACCAAAAAAATAAGTTTGGGGTCAAGCTCGACAAAATGGACACAAGCTCGAACTCGAGCCAAAAAATTAAGAACTCGACGAGCTCGAGCTCGGACCTGCCAAAAGAGGCGAGCTCGGCTCGTTCACACACCTACGTGGGACCCGTGATTTTCACTATCAACTCCATTGGTCCAGATTACTAGAATTGTACATTCGACACCATTGTTCCTTAGATTAAAAGTTGTCCATCAATATCTTGATGCCCTCTTCCACCACCACCACCACCAGGGGCGGAACATGGGGGGGGGGGGGGGGGGGGGGGGGATTAAAAAAAATATTTTTTGGTTCCCAATCTTGTGTAAATATAAGTTTTAACCCTTCATTTTTTTCTCTATTTTATGTAAATTTATATACTTTTCCATATTTATTATTACAACATAAAATTATTGTTAAAATCATCCCTTTTTGTAATATCCCACATTTTCAAAACCCTAAAACCCGAATTTAATCCTCCTAACTCAAATATCCTTGTGTGATATTATTATGTGAAAGTCAACTTTTTAGTCAAGAAAAACATTTTTTAGATTTTTATTTATCAAAAAATTCAAAACATTTTAAAACTATAAAATAATTTCATAAACTTGAAACTTGATCACTTAAGAGTTATAATTTAATTTTAGAATTTTTGGAAGTCCTTTACTATTGTTAGAATCCGAGAGGATTCTGACTTTATTTTTCCGCACGTGTGAAAAACATGTGTCTAAAGCTGGGGAAGTTTCCTTAATGCTTGAAACTCTTATTTTGTCATTAATTTATTTTAATTGTGTGAGTCATGTATTAACAAGGAATTTCCTTGACAAAGACTTTCCTTATCACACAATTCCTTTTCCTTACGTAAGATTGAAACTAACCTAATGGGCTCTAATCTTTTGTAGGACTCTTCTATTCAACCAATGAAGTATAAATATAGGAGCACCAGCGTGTTGTAACGTTGTCCTTTTTGTGAGAGAGAAAAATAATTTTCTACTCTTTTTACGTTGCTGCTCCTGATATTTGATCTTTTTCGAGAAGAGAAATTTATTCAAAGGTTTGCTTCTTTCACGTGAAAAGAAGATCGGTTCTTTGGGAGGAGAGCTTAGAAGATCTCGGGAGGAGGTCGATCCGCCGACTGAGGAATTCGGCGTTGAAGGGTTTCCAACCGTGCGGAACAAGGGACGTGCTGCAAAGTCAAGATTGATAATTCAGCGTAGTATACAAGAACGGCATCAACAAAGAGTGAGTCTTTGTATTTTGATTAAGTCCTATTATTGTATTCGTAAAACTAAGAAAAATAGTAAATTTCATTTGCAGGTCCCCGTGGATGTAGGATACAATTGTATCCAAACCACTTTAAAACTTGTGTCTTTTTATTACTATTTCATTAACTGTTGCAACTCTATGTAAAACATTAAAACAATATCTAAAACTGAATATGGAATTCATCCGACACAAATATATAATTAATTTGCACGAAATAATTCTAACAACTATTATTTCAAAATTTAATGGTTTATGTGCAATTTATGTTGTTCTTGTGATTTAATTGTTACTTCTTGGCATGGTGTGCTATAATGATGAATCATGGGATTATACACTTTAATTTACAGCAGGAACATGTTTAATATGTTGTTGGAATTTCTTGAGGTGAGTTAAATGTCTAAATGTGACAAGAAACTCATTAAAAGTTTGAAAAGAAGTGCCTTTGCTTTACAAGCATGATTTGGCTAATTAATATATGTGTTGATGATGATGGTTGCATGGTATGTGTGTGTCTATGGTGTGTATAGGTACGTGCACCGCGTGTGTGCAGTGTGTGTGTGTGATTGAGATACATGAACGGTTATTTAATCAGTCTATATCATGATAGGTGAATTATAGATGCTTATGTAGTTATGTGATAATTGTGATATTTAAGTGTTAATTGCACGAGATGTCCATTTAGGAAGTCTAGCATTCATGTACTTCACGAGCTGTTGAAAGTTTGAACAATTAACGAAATACTTGGCTGAATAAACAACGGATACGGTTGGCCGGTATCCAACTAGGTTAAGAAGGGTGGTTTGAATCCACCAAGAACGGCTCGTAACGGTTTATTGTCCGAGTATGGAGATTAATAGTTCACGAATCGGATAAAACGAAAAATATTTTTACACAATTTTCATGCAAGGGCGTTTTAGGCATTTTTGCATAACAATGTGTTTTACGTGAAAATAATGTGGTCTGTGACTTGTGTAATTATTCGAATATTAAGTTGTGCTTGGATGATGAATGAAGGTGATTAAAGTGATGTGTATATATATATATATATATATATATATATATATATATATATATATATATATATATATATATATATATATATATATATAAAACCTATTTCTAAAGTTCGATAATTACTCGAATTTCTTACTGGGCTTTATGGCTCATATAGATAACTTTTGATTGTAGGTAATAGTAGTAGCAATCCTTCAATCCGTAGGAATGGATCGAGTAGCGTGTCGAGGTCTTTCCCGGGTTTCTTTGGACGTTCGTACGAGGGGTTCTATAAGCGATTCATAATTATATACATTTTGGTGATGTATTATATAAAGACAATTTCCTTCTCGTTTATTTTGGTTACCGTATTCCTCACTAGAGGAATCAACTCTTTGGGTACAGATATTATTTTGAATCTTATTCTAGATCCGTTTATAATAATAAAATAGCAATAATAAAATAGCAAGTTTTATTTATGTCTTTAATTCTCACCAAAAATATTTCTAAAACTCTGATTTCTAGTTCGAACCGATAATAAAAAGATTTTTGAATAGTGTAGCACTCGAATAAATTCCTTCTTTAAAATGTTATTTCAAAACAAGAATTTGAACCGACTGGAATCCTTCAAGACAAATTTTTCGAAAATGATAATGGTTTTGCACTAAAAAATATGGATTTTAAATGGCAGCAGTTTCGCTAAGTTTTAAATTCACTACGAGGTCCAAAATGCGTCTGCTAAATAAGTGTAATTCCGATAAACCGGTTCGATTTATCGCCTATATGAGAGCATGGTTTATAGAAACTCGTATGAACTTCACGGGCTTAAAGACTATTCGAGACGTGAAACTCCACCCATTGGGTAATTATGTGAATTTAATACCTTACGCGACCAGGGCGCTTCTCCCAATGAACCCCAAGACCACAGCCTAACCATTCTTAATCTTTCACACTTTATCCGAGAACAAGCCCAAAACCACCAACGTCAATTCGAACAACTTCTCCAATGTAACCAACCTCAAATTAACGCGCCTCAAACTATATATGAACGATTCCTTAGAATGAATCCCACTGAAGTCGATGGTGGTATCGATCCAGCCGTAGCCGAAGAATGGATCAAGTCTCTCGAAGTAATTTACGACTATATGCAAATGGCCAACCGTGATCGAGTGCATTGCGCCATATTCCTACTCCGGAATGAGGCTCGTCATTGGTGGGAAGGGATCAAAGAAGGGACAAATCTCAAAAATCTTCAATGGTCCGAATTCAAAGTCCAATTGTTCGAAAAATATTTCTCGAAAGATTTACGAGCTCACAAACTCAAAGAATCCCTCGAACTCCGTCAAGGAGACTTACCAATGATCGAATACATCCGTCGTTTCGAGCGTGGCTGCCTTTACGCACCATTCATTGCTCGAGACGCCGAGGAAAAGAATAATCATTTCATCCGTGGTTTACAACCCGAGATCCGTAGAGATATCTGTATGTGCGAAGATTCAACTTTGCAACAATTAGTGGACAAGGTCCTCATGGCTGCCCAAGACAAGCAAGAATTTTAATTTCTAGAATGTAATTGATTATGTCATTTAATTCAATTATTTTTACCAACTATCTTCTGATATTTTTTCTATACCCTGAACTTTTAACATTCAAATAACAATAAACAACTACAACAATAAACAACAACTAATAAATTAAATTAAGAAAAGAGTTTCACAACTTAAAATAACAAACAATAAACAACTATTAAAATAAAATTAAGAAAACAGTTTCAAATTAAAATAAGAGTCTACAAATAACTTAAAATAAACAAAGTTTCACAAAAGAGTCTACAAATAACTTAAAATAACAATAAAGAACAATTAGTAAATTAAATTAAGACAATAGTTTTAGAAATTAAAATAAAAGTCTAGGCATCATCCTCATCATCCTCATCCTCGACGATCCTCATCCTCATCCTCCTCCTCATACTCCTCCTCATACTCATTCCTTCTCCCTTAGTTCTCGCAGACAGATTATATTACACACTCCAAGACATACACAAGCTTTGTCCTTGAACTTTTGATTTTCTTGATGAATCTCGTATAATTAATTTCAAAAAAACACATTTAATATCCATTTCGGATGATGGGATTTCGGGTTTCCAATTTAGATTTTCTTTTGTATTTGTTTCTCTGTTGGTGATGTCAGGCAGGGTATATTGATCACATTTGCTAACTATGTAAATTAATACAAGTAGCCCATTCATGTTTACATTCTTTTCAATTATTTCTACCATTCTATACTCCAACTTACCATTCTAACAACAATAAACAAAACTATTAAAATAAAATTAAGACTTAAAATAAGAGTCTACAAATAACTTGAAATAACAATAAACAACAACCTACTATATCAAATTAAGCTAAGAGTTTCAGAAATTAAAATAATTTCAGAAATTGAAATAAAAGTCTACACATCATCCTCGATGATCCTCATCCTCAATGATCATCCCCATCCTCCTCCTCCTCCTCCTCCTCCTCCTCCTCCTCCTCCTCGTACTCGTACTCGTCCTCGTCCTCGTCCTCGTCCTCATCCTCATCCTCATCCTCATCCTCACCGTGGCGGCTTATTTCATGGTTCGTTAGATTATGTCTATTCTCGAAAGTTTCGTTGCACACGAGGCAAGAAAAATAGCCTACAAAATCAAAACATTAGTAATTAAAATTAAGAAAAAAATCAATGAATAAAAATATCCGTAAACAGAATTTTCTATCGAACAAATTAGCTAGCATGCATCTCGGTATATAGTAAAATTAATAGCAGCAAGTATTTTCTGAAAAATGCAAAAATGCCCTTTAAATTATAAAAACCCTAAATAGTCAACAATCTGAATTACGTTTAAGAGATTACCTGGGCACGAATCCCCCTCAGTCGGCTCCTCCTCAGTCGTCGGCTCCTCCTCACTCGGCTGCTCCTCCTCCTCCTGTGTCGTATCCTCATCCGCCGGCTTCGGGTCGGACCCGGGCGGAACCGGATCAGAGGAAGCCGAAAGGGTGCGGCTCCCGCTGCTGCTACTACCTAGAACGCATCAAATAAAAATAATAATTAAGTAGAAATATAAACAACTTTTTTATAGATATTACTTTCTTACTTTTTTTGGGAAAACAATTAATAGCAAAAAGGGGGGTTTTGTCAAAGCTCCTAACCCGAAAAAGAATAAAAATAAAATAAAATAAAAATAAATAACTTATTTATATTAAAAAAAATTACTTTTTTTTTTGGAATAGAATTAATACCAAAAAGGAATATTTGGCAAATTTCGAAACTCGAAAAAAAAATATATAAAATAAATAAAGAACTCATTAATTAATTAGTTGGCCTTTTACTTTCTTTTCCTTTTTTTTTAGAAAAAAAAAATAATACCAAAAGAAGTTCTTATACTATTAAATAATTTACCAACTGATCTTAATGCTTTTGTCAAAGCTCGAATCCCGAAAATTTTCGACATAGTGAAAAGAGAGCGAGAGAGAGGAGAATAGCAAATAGTAAAAATGCAGCTTAATAAAATTCACATGAGTATGGAGTTTCACTTGTCATGAATAATAAAGTTTTTAGTGTGAGAACCCCAAAAATAATATTGTTCTAAAGTTTTATTAGAAAGAGATAATCAGAGCGTTGAATTTATGTCATTAAAAATGATAACAATAATGTTATAATATATTCTAAAGTCTTATCAAATATTACAACAACTATACATTTCTTAATCCAGTTTTGAAATAGTGTTATAGTTGAAGTTATTTAGATGTCTTCTAATAAAATAATATATATATATATATATATATATATATATATATATATATATATATATATATATATATATATATATATATATATATATATATATTAATTTTGGTTGAGTGTAACAAATTTAAAATAAATAACTAGGTTTTGCAATGTAATTTCCAAAATTATTCTACAACATTAATAAAAAGCTCTAATAAACATATTCTACTATGTGTTTAGAAGGCTAAAATTAATATTTCCATGTTATGTATTGTTAGGTTATTTTAATAAAAATAATATATTTTATAATAATGGCTTGACCACTTTTATGAGGTCATTTCGACCACTATGTTGAAACCTCAAAAAACATTATTTCAGAGGCTACCTATACGCCCCATTCATCGCTCGAGATGTCGAGGAGAAAAACAACCATTTTATTCGCGGTCTCCAACCCAAAATCCGTAGAGACATTCGTATGTCTGACGCCTCGACTTTCCGCCAACTTGTAGACAAAGCGCTCATGGCTGCCCAAGACGAGGGAGAAATTCAAAACAAAAGCGGACCGCCACCGAATTTCCAACGCCCATGGGAAAAGAACAACTTTGGCAACCGCCCATTCCGAGGGAAAGTAACGCAACCCCTTCGCAAATCAACCGGACCACCACCACCGCCGCCAAGGCCAACCTGCCCAAGGTGTGGAAAGAGTCACTTCGGAGAATGCATACAAGGAACGAGGAATTGCTTCCGATTCCATCAGCCCGGACACATGGTAAAAGACTGTCCAAAACCTCCACCGAACGTCCCCGGTCGAGTGTTCGCCATGACTCTAGAACAAATCGAGCAAGACCCGTCTATGATAGCAGGTACCACATTTACCCTCGAAGAACCAATATATGCTCTAATCGATTTCGGCTCTACTCAGTCCTTTATATCAAAAGACATAATTGCTCACTTAAATCTCGAACCGAATCGACTAAATTACGAATACCTAATTCTCATTCCCTTTGGCAAAGAAATGTGCTCCAATCTAGTCATAATCAATTGCCCAATCAAAGTTCACACCCAACCCATGAATTTCGATTTAATCCTCCTACCAATCCAAAACATCAAAGTTGTACTAGGCATGGACTGGTTAACCAAATTCAAAGCCCAAATCGATTGTGCCTAAAAAACGGTTATAAACCCTTCCGAACGGCGAAACCCTAAAATTCCGAAGTCAACCAAAAACCTCGATTCCAATCATCTCCGCGATCAAAGCAGTCAAACTTATTCACAAGGGTCATTCCGGCTACTTAGTGGATATTCTGAAATCTGAATCCGATCCCAAAGCCCAAATTTCCGAAATTCGAGTTGTCGAAGAATTCCCCGATGTGTTTCCCAATGACATTCCTGGACTTCTACCCGATCGAGAAATTGAGTTTGAAATCAACCTCATCCCCGAAGCTACGCCAATTTCCAAAGCCCCGTACCGTATGGCCCCGATGGAATTAAAGGAGCTGAAGGACCAAGTTCAAGAATTGCTCGACAAGGGTTATGTTCGACCCAACCATTCCCCGTGGGGCGCACTGGTTTTCTTTGTCAAAAAGAAAGACGGATCCCTTCGCCTTTCCATCGATCACCGTGAACTCAACAAAATCACAATCAAGAATAAATACCCTCTTCCTCGAATCGATGATCTTTTCGACCAACTCCAAGGCTCATCGGTCATCTCTAAAATCGACCTTAGATCCGGTTACCACCAACTCAAAATCAAAGAATCCGATATTCCCAAAACATCTTTCAGAACCCGGTATGGCCACTACGAATTCGTTGTCATGCCCTTCGGTCTAACCAACGCACCCCCAGCTTTCATGGACCTTATGAACCGAGTCTTTCATCAATACTTGGACAAGTTCGTAATTATATTGTCTTCATCGACGACATTCTCATCTACTCCAAAACCCAAAAATAACATATGGCACACCTTCGCACCGTACTCCAATCTCTCCGATCGCATCAGCTATAAGCCAAATTCAGCAAATGCGAATTCTGGCTATCAAGTGTGGCTTTCCTTGGTCACATTGTTTCAGAAAAAGGAATCTCCGTCGATCCTAGCAAGATAGAAGCGGTGTCAAATCGGCCAATTCCGAAGAATACAAAGGAAATCCGAAGCTTCCTTGGACTAGCCGGTTACTACCGCAAATTTTTTAGAGATTTCTCGAAGCTTGCCTCTCCACTCACCCGATTAACTCGAAAAGACGTCAAGTACTAATGGACGCCCGAATGCGACGCCAGTTTCACCGAATTAAAGACTCGACTCACCTCGGCAACAATTTTCGCACTACCAGAGAAATTCGGAGAATTCATAGTCTACAGCGACGCCTCGAAATTAAGATTATGCGCCGTATGTTGGGGATCGTGCATGTATACGCAGCGGAATTTAAAAATTTTATATCGAACTAGTTTCGATCACATGCATAAACTAATCACATAGTCAACGTACCTTAACGCTTCCGCCATACATATGGTAATTTTCGATTTAATTGAAAAATACATAAAACCGAAAAACACGAAACATGATTATTCATCATTCAATGAAATCGAAACACGTAATCATATATTACACACAATCATAAATTATAATTCATACAAAAAACATGCTCGAATTAATTTACGAAAGTTTCGATTCATCTACCTCTTGTAGCGTGCGATTTCGACGAATCGAAATCCTAGAACGAGTCACGTACAAGCTGCTAATTACCAATCCACGGGGCAGCAACTCACGGCTGGACCAAGCTGATCCAGCAGGCGACGAACGGCGGTGAACGGCAGCAGCAGCGGCGGCGCGTGGCAGCGGCAGCGGCGGCGCGTGAGCGGCGTATCGGCGCGTGCGGCGGTGCGTGGATTCGTCGGGGCAGCAGCTCCTCTCCAATTAGGTTTCACCTCGTATTTTCGACCCACTCGAACTACAGCACTAGATGTAAACGAGTTAGATAACAACACGAATAAAACGAGGGAGAAAGAAGAGAAAACCGGCGGTGTTTCCGGCGGTGGTCGGCGGTGGCGCGCCGGGGCAGGGACGGCCGAAGAGGGGAGCGGCTAGGGCTTGAGCGGCTAGGGTTTTGTGCTAAAAAATCTGATCTCAAAACTCTTTTTGAGGTCTATTTATACTTAGGGTTTTCAACCCTAGTGGGCTTAAGTCATTGGGCTTGACCCACTGATGCATTAAGCCCATTCCCTCGTCGGCCTCGTTTCTAACAAACGATCGTTCACAAAATTATAACAAAATTATATTTGTGACGAGCTCAAAGTCCTCGTCGATACGAGTGCCTCTTCGAAATTTCCAATTTCCAAAATTGGAAACTTCCACTTCAGTGGACTTGCTAAATCGGGAAACTTCCCAATTTAGAAAGTTCACTAAATTCCGCATGTCTCTCTTTCTCTACGTTTATTCCAATTCGCAATCCACAATTACGAATCTTGGATTCAATCATATTGACATCCAATCGTTCAAAGATTAACACATTAATCTATGTTTGTTGTTATCAAGGATCTATATTACACGAAAAGTGTGACCCTCAATGGTTCAGGTGTATGCTAGCCGTGGGCTCACAACTCTTTGTGATTCGAACAACACATTGTTCTTATACGAACTCCTCCCAAGAGTCCCGATTAGAGTAAAACTCATTTTACCTAATCCCGATCAAATCGGTGCCCAACGAATCAAGATTGGCGTCTAGCAACTACGCATCATGATTCCCTAGATACAAATGAAGTGCCTGCAAGAACCTTATGATATAGTTAGCGTACAGTACGATCCCTTCGTAGCACATGTCCCGATTGAACTAGAGGCATTGGTTCACCGAGACCTCTTATAAAGTTCAATAACCGTGCGAACGTTCTAGGTATTATAAATCCGTTCGTGTGCGACTTAGGGAAACACATTTCCCTAATCACCCCACTATCAACTCTGGCCAGAGATTCCATGGATTATAAACCGTCAGAACACACAGGACATCCATGACTACTCAAGCGCTCGAATCCCCTACTACAATACACAGACTTCACACTAGATTTCGGATTGCACGAATGTTGGCCCTTGGTGTGGTCCGCGGTGGGACTCAGGGACAGGTCACGATACAATCGGTCCTCTAGTGAAGTCACGGTGATGTCTGGGTCTTAAGGACTAATGGTGTACAACTATATCTTAGAAACCTATTACTCGATGAATGAGAACCACTTATAGATTTCTAGGGCGAGGGAGTTCAGTGAACTCATCCAGTATGAGCACCCACTCAAGTATGCCGATGTCACAACACCGAGGACTGATGAGACGCAGTACACATACACTAAGTGCTAGTCTCAAAAGGGAAAGGCCGGTATCCTCATTATTGGCGTAACCCATCGACTAGGAACAAGGTTTAACAGTTACATTACATTGCTGAGTTATCTCACGATTCTACTAGATCAACTCACAGTAATAGAGTAACTCGTTAGGACTATATCTATGCTGCTTGCATGGGATAACAGATATAGAATGCCAAATAAGATATTTTATTATTACGAACGAAAAACGATTGTTTTATTACAAGGAAAAGAGAAAGACCACAGCCACAAGTTGGCTTGTTGGTCACCTACTCTAACAATCTCCCACTTGACCTAAAGCCAACTACTCATAAATCTAAGTCCCATCGACTCTCGATGTTTCTCGTGGACTGATCCTGACAATGGCTTGCTAAAGGGATCTGCAATATTGTCCTCCGAGGTGACTCTGTCTAGCTTGACTTCACCTCTCTCTATGATCTCTCGGATCACATGGTATTTTCTCAACACGTGCTTCGACTTCTGATGAGCTCTTGGTTCCTTAGCTTGCGCTACGGCTCCGTTGTTATCGCAGTACAGCCGTACTGGATCGCTAGCGTTCGGAAATACACCCAACTCTTGGATGGATTTCCTAATCCATGACCCTTCCTTTGAAGCATCTGATGCTGCAATATATTCAGCCTCGGTGGTGGAATCAGCCGTCGTGCCTTGTTTGGAACTCTTCCAACACACGGCACCCCCGTTGACTTTGAATATATACCCCGAATTTGACTTTGAGTCATCCACGTCCGATTGAAAACTAGAATCCGTGAAGCCTTCTAATTTCAACTCGGTATCCCCATAGACCAAAAACAAATCTCGAGTTCTTCGCAAGTACTTGAGAATGTCCTTCACAGCCTTCCAATGGGCTAGGCCGGGGTCGGACTGATATCTGCTTGTGACGCTCACAGCATACGCAATATCAGGTCGTGTACACAGCATGCCATACATTATGCTTCCTATAGCGGATGCATAAGGTGTCCTTTTCATCTCCTCGATTTCCATTTGCGTTTGTGGACGCATGGATTTCGAGAGACGAACCCCATGGGACATTGGCAAGAATCCCTTCTTGGATTCTTCCATGCTAAACCGTTTAAGAACGGTGTCTTTGTACATGGATTGGGACAAGCCAAGCAATCTCCTCGATCTATCTCTATAGATCCGTATTCCTAATACGTAGGATGCTTCTCCCAAATCCTTCATCGAGAAACGTGTGGATAACCATACTTTAGTTGACTGCAACATCCCTACATCATTCCCAATGAGTAGTATGTCATCAACATAAAGTACAAGGAAAGTCACTGCACTCCCACTAACCTTCTTGTAGACACAAGGTTCCTCCGGGTTTTTCACAAATTCAAACTCTTTGATAGTTGTGTCGAACCTTTTGTTCCAACTACGGGATGCTTGTTT